CGGCTTCTCGAATGGCTGGCGTTGCTACGCTCTTTTCGTCCCATTTTGCGATGCGCATAATAACACTCTGTGAAAGTGGGAGTCCTGAGCACTGCTGCCGGTGGGGATAGTGAGTAATTCAGGTCAATGGGGAGTTAGTAAGCTTGGCTAACTTTTTATTGTGATTCGGAAACTGGCTGGTAATTCGGGCGCTGCTTCTACTTGTATTTCATTGAATCTATAAACAGAAGATGTTACAAACGATTGGCCAATTTTTTTTTTATTTTTTTTGAGAGCTATTTCGAGCCATTTAGCATAACCAAATGGATATTATGCTGGATTTTTGCATCATTTTGTTTCAACAATGTCAGCGCGTGATTTGGCGACAAACTCGACAACAGAAGATGCAAGTTTGAGGGCTAATATGTGTGGCTGTTGAGGCCATTTTTGTTGTAGAGATAACATTGTTGCCTTGCACATACCAGTGTTTGACGAAATAACTTAGTTGTCTTTGCCTGAATAACAAGGTGTCCATCTTACGAAGTGATAACTCCATGTGTGTATTGCTAAGAGTGCAGCTGAGTCGCCCATGCAGTATTGGTATTATATTGCATTAAAGTGGAGAAAATCAGCAGTCTGAAGTTGTAGTACATACACAGGGAGAGCTTTAAAAAAGAAGTGGGAGGAACTTGGTTTTTTGAACTAAGGAACCACGGTGGTTTGGTGAGGAAAAGTCGAGATCCGTTGGTTCTTGGGAACATCTCCAAGGACGGTTCAGAACGCTGTAGCGGTTGAAGAAATTAAGCATGCGGAAATATACGTGGATAAACAGTTAGATCAATGTTGCCTAAATATGCTGTTTACTGACGAAGCTGGGGTGCGCAGTAGTGGACCGATTCGATTCTGCGCTTCTTCAGTAGATGATCGTCTAATTCTTGGTTCAGCGCATGGCAGACACCCAGGAATCGGCTTTATAATTCACTTCGTTTTGAAGTCTCAGTGCCAGCTTCGTCCTAAAGGCGGTGCCAGCCCATATTCAAACGCGTAGCTGTGGAATGTGGGACAGTGTTGCTTAGAAGTTGATTTCAGTCCAAACTAGTCGCCTTGTAAAAACACCAGAAGCCCCGGGATTTCGTGTTTCCGAGTTGTTTCGTCTTGGAATTGATAAAATTTTTCTTGAGATTGGATTTAGGAGTTGTAAATCCTAGTAGAGTGAGGACTTGAGATCAAATTTCAGTTGCAGGTCTGAAAACTCCGTTCCTGACAGTTTGCTGCTCGCACTGTTTTGCTTTTCGGACTGCAAAACAATCTAAATTCGAGAATCATAACAAATAAAAGATGGCCGAATTTGTGGTTTTGTACGCGGCCAAGAATTATATCTGCAGAAATTCAGTTTCCAGCTTCTGCAGTTCCATAGTCCACTCACGTGCACATTCACGATCTCATTGTAGTGCCTTCTCATTTGCATAACATGCAAGATTCCATAACAAAACAGCACAGTGTCCCTGCTTTCTCATCCCTCTTCCTCCACCAGCTGTCTCATCATCCACTGTCCCATATTTTTCACGTCTTTTTTTTGCATTTCAAGCCGCATGCAATCACCCGAATGGAATGTTCATCATTGCAAATTGCTCCTGGAGCAGCTTGTCCCTTTAGCTGTTTTAATAAATGACTCTTCTCGGTAGAAATTCCAAAACTCAGACAACGTGGGGAACGTCCCAACTTATTTCAAGTGAGGCGAACGAGGCTGTGGCTAGGAGGTGTTTTAACGCCATATTAGGTGAAGGGAGTCCGTGGCTTTTTCGTGTTTGCTGCTCTTAAACCCTCTTTTACCGCGGCTTTCTCCAGCTCACTGCATCATCCACTAGTTTGTCAAAAAACGTAAGCAGTTTCCATTCTTTTTTTTTCATGGATAGGCGGTCTCGTTAGAGTTTTATTGGACTACAATAGCGAGGCTGCCTCAGCCAATAACTGGATGTTTGAATTGAGTTGCAGGTACAACAAGCGGGACGATGCGAGCAGCAGTAACAATATAGTGATGGCTGGTGCCACTCCGAACGGGATCACGCAGTCGGCGACGTCGCAGCAGTGGCCGGCCACAACTTCAGCGAGTGCGGCCGCTGCAACAGCAGTTGTAGCTGCGGCAGCAGCACTGCAGAATGGTGGCGGCAATCGTAATCGCCCGTATTTTGGGCAGCCACACTTTATTGGCCGTGCGCCGCTGATCGGGAGCCGTATGAGTGGTGTGGATTACTGGCACAAGAATGGGAGCTCGGCTGCAGAAGCAGTGAGACGCCAGCAGCAGCAGCACCAGCACCACCATCACTACGAGCGCGACGATAATATGGACCGAAGCAGAGCTGGCGCCGGAGCCGGCGGCTATCAGCGCATCGACAGATGGCAGCCACGTGGCGTACACTCGCAAGTGCCTCCGAAGCTTACGGCGGCGCAGAAGCGAGCGCGTGGCCCCTTGCCAGACTGGGACGATTGCGAGGAGGACAGTTTCGATTATATGGATCTGATGGAATCGCAGTATGCGCAGTACTACGCGGTGTCCACGGTGCCGCCATTCGACCCAACGTCGACCGGCATGGACCCGGCGCTGGCGGCGGCTTTCCCGAACATGATGCTGCATCAGGCACAGCAGCAGATGGCCGCACTCACGTTCCGCCCGCCACAGCTCTCACCTTTCAACGCCCACTTACTGTCGCATCCGCCACCAACTATGGTCGCTGCTGCGGCTGCTGCTGCTGCGGTGGGCGAGTCGCGCCCAGATAGTGTTGCATCCTCGCTTACGTCGAATACTGTCCCGGCCACTCCAACTGCCTTGCTTTCTCCAAGCAACGCTACAGTAGCTGCGCCCATTCCGGGAACCGCTGGCGTATCAGCAATCGGCCCGATCGGCGTCCCCTACAATGCCGCTTATCCGCCAATTTCACCTCAGACACCGATTAGCACCGAAACGCTGAAAGAATATATCCGGAAACAAATGTAAGTTTTCGTCCTTCACTTCTGTATATTTTATTCTCCGAATCGGAGTGGGAGAGAAATGAGGATGACAGGGAGGGAAAGTGACTTTTGAGGACTCCCGAGAGGACAGGGACTGCTTGAGAAGACTGCTGAAGGACGGGAATTATGATTGTTAGGGGAAAATAGACGTCCTGTTATGATTAAATAATTGGCCAACGCACGGGCTGCCCGTGCGAAGATGCGTCTTTTGCATAGCTCCCTGCAGATTTTTGTCGCTAATGGCGCTGTTTTTTCCGGCAGGTGCTTCTAGCCAAAAGAATTTCAGGCTGGCCGCCAGGACTGTCGGGAAACATCCCTTCAAAATTGCAGTCTTCTAGCTTCGCAGGTTCCCCAGTTAGAAACTTACCCGAAAAAAAACTTCACAGGTCCATGC